ATGGAAGAATCGGGTTGTCAATTACTAGACCTCTTTTTTTTAACTATCCATCATTTCTGAAAGAACTTTCATATGATCAATTCCTTAATGCTGCCATAGCAAACAATTGCTGTAAAGATATTATAATTGAATTATTTAAAATACTTACTAAGAATAGTGTAAAATTACGCCGATTTAATATTTATAACCGTCTTAATCATCATCCTGAAAACCTAGATAATTTAGGATATTCTGTTCTTCCACATTTTTCTGAATGCATATCTATATTTAGTAGACTGAATTATTTTAATTGCAGTTATCAATGGCCTATGGAAAAAACACAACTTTTTAATGCAATAGCGGAGGAATGTCATAATATTGAAAACCTTAAAATTAGTATTTATTATGAGAATGAAGGGATAGCTTTGGCGGCTCTTATTCGTTCACAAAAACGTTTAAAAAAGTTCTCACTGATTAATAGTAATAATTTTGCATCATTTCCTGTCCAAGCTCTTATGAATCAAACACACTCGCTTAAAAGTCTAGCATTTGAAGACATGCATTGTGATCGGAACTTAAGCAAGACAAAATTTTTTAAATATGCTATTTGTCAATTAACTAGCAGTGCTATCAATGTTATAACTCAGTGTATAAAAATCAACAAATTGAAGTTTGATCACTGTGAAGGTCTCAACTCCACCGCATTTTTTCCTCTCGCTACTGCCTTCTCAAACTTAACATCTTTAGAATATTCTTATGGTGCTTATAAAATTTATGATAGAGCAACCCCTATTATATTATTATCTGGTCTCATTATGGCAAATTGCAATACACTTAAAAGAATTATACTTGATTGGCATTCTCGTAATTTTCTTGATATTACTCAGCTTGTCAAAATTATTGCACAACAGGTTATAAGCCTAGAACATTTAAAAATTCCAATCTACACATTAGAACAGCTTGCTCTAATTCACAGAACTCATAATAATTTAAGGAATCTTGAAATTCATATGGATAGAACAATAAATCCATATTGTGCACTTTCTCTTTTTGCAAATGCTTCACTCAAAAGCATTGAACATTCAATTAAATTGCATTTCGATTATAATGAAATTTCCAAACTAAAATTCAACATATCAAATCAGATCTTTGAATCCATTTTTTACAAAAGTAATCGTGTTGTTGATTTTGTTTTATGTCTGCGTACTAATTCAAGTCCTTCAATAGAAGGAAAAGAGATACTTTTAAGAAATTATCCTAAACTTAGAATCAATGTCTTGAATAGTGGTATTATAGGTGCTACAAGATTTGGTTCTGTAATGTGTAAACATGATGAATTACTTAAAATTTTCGACAATTTTTTAGAAATAAATTCAGATGATATATGGGCACTAAAACAACGTGGTGCAACTTACTTTAGTGTAAAAAATTATATAAAATCGCTTGAAGATTTGAGCAGATCTTTAGAAATTAAACCAAACAATGCCTGCGCATTAAGACTACGTGGAGAAGTTAATTGCTTCATGGGAAAATATGAGAAATCATTAAATGATTTAAATAAATCACTAGAAATTGAACCAAACAATGCATGGGCATTAAAATTTCGTGGAATTACATATTCCAAGATTAAAAAATATGAGGAATCACTTGAAGATTTAAATAGATCTTCAAAAAATGTACCAAATTATTCATTTGCACTGAAAATGCGTGATGAAATTTTTTGTAAAATGAAAGGATATGATGATGATGATGATGATGACTCACTCACAAACTTGAATAAAATTCTCGAAATAGAACCAAATAATGCATATGCATTAAAAAACAGGGGTGCAATTTATAGAATAATGAAAAAATATGATGAATCACTAGCAGATTTAAATAAATCTCTCAAAATAGATCCCGATGATAACCTTGCGTTAAAGAATCGTGGAGCAATTTATGTAATAATAGAAAAATATAAAGAAGCACTTGTTGATTTGAATAAATATCTTGAAATAGAACCAGATGATTCATTTGCATTAAAATATCGTGGTGCAACTTATAGAATAATGAAAAAATATTATGAGTCACTTGCAGATTTAAATAAATCTCTCAAAATAGATCCTTATGATAGCTTTGCGTTAAAGAATCGTGGAGAAAATTATTTAATAATGAAAAAATATAAAGAATCACTTGTAGATTTGAACAAATATCTTAAAATAGAACCAGATGATGCATTTGCATTAAAATATCGTGGTGCAACTTTTCTTATGATGAATACAAATTTATTTGAAGATTTTTTGCCGATTCCTACAGTAATAGGCCGACATCTAAATCGAAATCAACGAAATCGTAATAACGAATCTAAAAAATACGAAAAATCACTTAAAGATTTAAATAAATCACTAAGAATTAAACCAAATGATGCATTTGCATTAAGATATCGAGGAATAAATTACCGTATGATTAAGAATTATGAAATGTCACTTAATGATTTGCATAGTTCACTAGAAATTGAGTCGAATGACGCATTCACATTACAGCAACGTGGCGTAACCTATTATTTTATGAAATTATATAATAAATCGCTCGAAGACTTAAACAAATCATTAGGAATTGACCCAGATAACGCAGATTCTTTATCAAATCGTGGAAGGACTTATTATATGATAGGAAATTATGAAAAATCACTTAAAGATTCCAATAAATCACTAGGGATTGAGCCAGCCAATGCTAGGAAATCGTGGTGCTATTTACAGGATAATGAAAAAATATGATGCCTCGCTTGAAGATTTAAGCAAGTCCCTCGAAATGGAGCCAGATGATGCATTTACATTAAAAAATCGTGGTGCAACTTATCTTATGATAAATAAAAATTTAACTAAAGAAAAATTATATAGAATTCGTTTAAGGTGTGGTAGACGACATCGAAATCGTAATTATAGGTCAAATAAATATGAAAAGTCGCTTTCAGATTTAAATAGATCATTAAAAATTGAGCCACTTGATGCATTTACATTAAGGTATCGTGGAATAAATCACTGCAAGACTGGGAAGTATGAAATGTCACTTGAAGATTTAAATAGCTCACTAAAAATTGAGCCAAATGATCCATTGACGTTACAGCAACGTGGTGTAACTTACTATCATATGAAATTATACGATAAATCGCTCGAAGACTTAAATAAATCATTGGAAATTGACCCAGATAACGCCGATTCTTTAGGAAATCGTGGAAGGACTTATTATATGATAGGAAATTACGAAAAATCACTTGAAGATTCTAATAAATCATTAAAAATCGAGCCAACAAATGCAATTTCGTTAGGAAATCGTGGTGCTATTTACAGAATATTGAAAAAATATGATAATTCACTTGCAGACTTAACTAAATCTCTTGAAATAGAACCAGATGACGCATTTATATTAAAAAATCGCGGTACCATTTATAGAATAATGAAAAAGTATGATGAATCACTTGAAGATTTACATGAATCTCTTGAAATAGAACCAAATGATGCATTTGCATTAAAAAATCGTGGTGCAACTTATCTTATGATAAAGAAGGGTTTAAATGAAGATTTGGACGATCCTTATGGATTTTATTCGCTAGGGCTCTACGATCGAAGTTATCGAATTTATCAAAACAATAAGCGTAAATACGAAAAATCACTTGCAGATTTAGACAAATCATTAGAAATTGAGCCAAATGATGTATTTGCACTGAGATTTCGAGGAATAAATCACTGCAAGACTGGGAAGTATGAAATGTCACTTGAAGATTTAAATAGCTCACTAAAAATTGAGCCAAATGATCCATTGACGTTGCAACAACGTGGTGTAACTTACTATCATATGAAATTATACGATAAATCACTCGAAGACTTAAATAAATCATTGGAAATTGACCCATATAACGCCGATTCTTTAGGAAATCGTGGAAGAACTTATTATATGATAGAAAGATATGAAGAATCACTTAAAGATTCAAATAAATCGTTAGAAATTGAACCAACTAATGTAATTTCGTTAGGAAATCGTGGTGCTATTTACAGAATATTGAAAAAATATGACAAATCGTTTGTAGACTTGACTAAATCTCTTGAAATAGAACCAGATGATGCATTTGTATTAAAAAATCGCGGTGCCGTTTATATAATAATGAAAAAGTATGATGAATCACTTGAAGATTTAAATAAATCTCTTGAAATAGAACCAAATGATGCATTTGCATTAAAAAATCGTGGTGCAACTTATCTTATGATAAAGAAGGATTTAAATGAAGGTCTTTATCGATTTTATTCGCCATGGGTCTACGATCGAAATTACCAAGTTTATCAAAACAACAAGCGTAAATACGAAAAATCACTTGCAGATTTAGATAAATCATTAGAGATTGAACCAAATGATACATTTGCATTAAGATTTCGAGGAATAAATCACTGCAAGACCAAAAAGTATGTAATGTCACTTAAAGATTTAAATAGATCACTAAAAATTGAGCCAGATGATCCATTGACGTTACAACAACGTGGTGTAACTTACTATCATATGAAATTATACGATAAATCACTCGAAGACTTAAATAAATCATTGGAAATTGACCCATATAACGCCGATTCTTTAGGGTATCGCGGAAGAACTTATTATATGATAGAAAGATATGAGGAATCACTTAAAGATTCATATAAATCGTTAGAAATTGAACCAACTAATACAATTGCATTAGGAAATCGTGGGTCAATCTACAGAATAATAGAAAAATATGAAATAGAACCAAATGATGCATTTGTATTAAAAAATCGCGGTGCCGTTTATAGAATAATGGAAAAGTATGATGAATCACTTGATGATTTAGAAATGTCATTAATGATTGATCCAGAAGATTCATTTGCGTTAGGATATCGCGGAGCGATTAACTGCAATCTCGGATACTATGCGAAATCGCTTAAAGATTTAAACAAATCACTGACAATTGAACCAAAAAACGCATTCGCATTGCGGCAGCGTGGGATAACTTACTTTTATTTGAAAAAAATATGACAACTCATTTGCGGATTTAGATAATTCTTTAATATTAAAATTTTTTTACCCACGAGTATTACTTTGAGCTTAAAGGTGACTATGAAACAGGAGTTAGATGTACTAAGTAAAAATGTTCAGAATGCCACAAAACCTTGTGTAGGCTATTATTTCTAACAACGTATTGATCTCAAATTGCACCCTAACCCTAAAAAACATGGAGAATTTTTCCCAGGTTATTTATAGTTATTTTCAATGTTATAATAGATTCTAATTATAAAATGTAAAAACTTTATAATTCGAAATTTGTAGCAAATTACATAAGTAACAAATTAGACTTTTAGTATAATATCGGGTTTAAAAAATTATTTCTTAGTAATAATTTAGATATAGCATATTTGGATTAGGCAATTATATGTTGATAACGAAGAGAATATTATTTTATTGCCTGAATTCAATTTTTTATTAATAAAAAATTGATATTAACGAGTGTCAAGCGTATTCAGAGCTAGCTTAAGACTAAATAGATTATAGTATATAGTAATATTTGAAAAGAATCTTTAAACACAAATAATTTTATAATCATGATTTTAAGCTATAATTTAAAGTTTTGAAATTCATAAACTATTAATATATAAATTATAAATTAGCATAATATTACAGAACAGTCCGAACTCAAGATCTGGGCAATAAGCATGAACAAATAGTATGGAAGTATAAATAAGAACCGTGGCCATATATTGCACATATTGCACACCAATAGTGCAACGACTTATAAGTTTACTCCACACGTCTTCCGTTCCTAGTTTTGCGTGACAACGTCGCGCAGCTATTTTATTTTATAGACTGCAGTCATCAATTTGTACCGAGCTGGACAACATCTCTGGATGATATTTCAAATCATGCATTGAATACGTATTTAGTTTAAAACGGTTGAAATTTTTTATTTAACGATATCGTATTTCATTACATATAATCACGATTTTAATCTATCATTATAGTTATTAAATTATAGAATGGACAAAGAAGCACTCATAAGAGTATCACCAGAGAAAATCAAACAGTCAAGTTTATTTATCCTTTTGCTAGGTTTAGTTTTACTCTAATCTATTCAGTAAAACATTAATTTTGCACACTTGTTATATATTATATTTCACTAAACAAGCAATGTTTCTTTTGGCGACTCTCATATGCAATTCTCGTTTAAATTAATTATAAGCCGTGGGATCAATATCATGATTATATAAAAACTATTTAACTATAATCTGCACGATGAACTC